AGAACCGATATGGCTGATTACTGATGCATCGGATGTTGGAATTGGAGCATGGGTTGGGCAAGGGGCCTCCCATGAAACAGCAAGACCGGCGGCATTACACAGCAGGAAGTTCACTAACTCACAGATGAACTATGGAACAACAGACAAGGAAGCCCTTGCTGTGATTGATGCTCTCGCCACGTTCAATCACATCCTGATGGGCAATACCTTCACTATTGTTACCGACCACCAACCCCTCACCAATCTTAAAACAGAAAAGATACCCGGAAGGAGAAGAACAAGATGGATAGGTGAAATCGGCAAATACGATGCAAAAATCATCTATACCCCTGGAAGAATGAACTATTTAGCTGATGCTCTCTCCCGCCTATATGAGAATCAAGACATCGCAGACCCCCCTCTCGTTCACGACCACACAAGACAAAGTGAGGACAGCCCTGACGACACCTCATATGAACAAGAACCATCGATGGCTACTGCTAGCTCTGCCGCTCCCTCCAATCCTTTCTCTTGCACCATGTACAGTGCTGCCGGAACAGAACGAGGAAAGGACATTGATGAAGAATGGAAAGACAATTGCACGCTCCGCAGCACACCTCCTCATGAAGTTGAACAAAGCAGACTCCACTGGTCCCACTGTTATCACGACACCTGCCCGTTTCACCAGACTGAGATCAAGTTCGGCAACAGATACCAGCGACCGTACTATATGCCTGCTGACGATTCCAAAGACACCAGCTTCGACACCGCAGAAGGAGAAGGAGAGATGATCGATGAGAATGAGTCAATCCAATCTCCTCATATCCTTAACCCGGCTCCAACACGATACCAAGGTCTTGAAGAACTCGAACAACCAGCAGCCTACGTGGATGCAATATCCTATTTACACCCCCCACAGTCAGCCCCGCCATCCTCTCCTCCCATAATCGATTCACGACCACTATATGGTAGACCCTTACGAGTATATAACAATGAAACCATTGTCTCGGTCATATCCCCTACTATTCCCGAGCATCGGCGTCAACTCTATGAAACCTTTGAGGAAGAGGAAGCCCCTATCGAACCAACAAGAGGATCCCTAATCGAGGATGAACGAGATGTTAGATCAACCACAGAAGAATTAACCTCCTCTTTGCGAAGCCAAATGATAGCAGGATACCGCCATGACCCGATTTACTTCAAAGCAATGGATAGCTCCAGGCATGGAGACCTGGCCCCCTACAACATATCAAATGGAATGGTCTATACCAGCACTCGTTATGGTGAACACTGCCTATACATTCCAAAAGGCCATATGTTCAATGGAATGACTATTAGAGAATATGTTATTTCCAAAATCCACAACAAAGGACACCATAGTGCAGATCGCAACCTCCAATATGCCTCAGAATATGTTTACTGGCCTGAAATGCGAAAGGACTTCCGCGATTTTGTCAGGCAATGCGAACTCTGTCAGGCAAATAAGGAGCGAACACAACTTCCTAAAGGGAAAGCTCAGACCCTCCAACTACCATGTGAAATATTTGAATCCTACACCATCGATTTCGCAGGACCATTCAACAAGTCCGCCGGATATGACACCGTCTTGGTAGCTGTGGATCGATTCTCTGGATACACCTGGTTAATACCAATGAAGGTTACTGACTCCTCCAAAGACACCTGGAATAACCTACAACGATACTTGTTTACCCCCCACGGGTACCCCTTATCTATTGTCAGTGATGCTGATCTCCGCTTTACCGCCAGATTCTGGAAGCAAACCTTGACCTCCCTCGCAATAAACCACATTATGGCTGCCCCAGGACACCATCAGACTAATGGCCAAGCAGAACGAAAAATCCGCGAGGTTAAGACCGGAATTAGGAATATGATCAATGAACGACAAACCAATTGGGAACCAGCCCTGGTTGAGCTCGCAGCATATATCAACGCCGGATTTTCAGATACCTTGGGGATGTCACCATACAAGGCAGTCTTTGGCCGTCAATACCCCCTCCTACCTACAACACTATTTAAGAACTCCTCAGTCCCTGCCTCTGATGACCATCTAAACCGCCACTAAGCAATTCGGAACGATGCCTTCCAAGCTGTTAAGGCTGCCCGATTCCGAAGCACCACTACTGCCCAGAAACGACGACACAAACATGTCCCCATCTCACCAGGAGATATGCTCATGGTTCACGGTAACATGTTCATTACCAATGTCGGACGCAGTAAGAAACTGCAACCCCGATGGCGCGGACCCTTCAAAGTCATATCCTTTGATGAGCATACAGAGAACTACACTGTCCAGATGGATGGACGCATGTACCGCCGCAATACTGCAGTCTTTCACGCCTCAGCTGTCAAGCGATTCCATCCAAATGACGACTCTAAGTTCCCTGGAAGAACCCACTCCCGACCCGAACCTATCATCATTGAGAAGAAAGATGAATGGGAAGTTTAAGAAATCCGAGACCACCGCCTTTGGCATGGAAATGATCAATTCTTAGTCAAATGGAAGGGATATCCAACGAGCGAAAACAGTTGGGAACCACTGGAAGGACTAGAGCACGCTATGGATATGGTGAATGAATGGTGGAAAGACAATATGCCGAATGGATCCCTTCCCCCAACAATCAACTACATCACTATGTGCTGGACACCCACGATGCCAGACACTGAGCGATGGCATGCAGAACTCGAAGCTAGAGATGGATTTTGGGCACCATACTTTGAGTCGGAATTCGAGAGTAGCGATGAGGAGAATCAAGCTATGGAGCAGGCTCTCGACAACTTTATCTAGTCACCAATCACCATCCGAATACCATAACGATGTCAAACTATGTGGAGCTTAATGTGAGGCAGCGACAACAGATTGTTGGACTGTTGTTGAACCGCGATGTTATCCAACTTGAAGACTATTTCGAAATCCTCTGGATTGACTACTGTCCTGATTGTGATCATGCTTGGGTTGATGTACAGCACGAATCTGGTATTCGTGACTACTGTGATTTAGATTTCTTCGAGTCTAAGTGTTTCTTTAGAGTTTCCTCCTGCCCCTGGTGTGATACTTATGATGAGGAATTTCTTGCGGAAACTGAAGCCATGAGTTTCTCGGAATCCGCTTTTGATGATTATTAGGTTTTGTTTGTTTAAACAGTTGTTTTGTTTTGGGGAATGTAACTGGTACGGGTACTCGGTTATTGGTTTTGTTTTATGTTTTGTTTTAAGTATCGCTTTGATACTTGGTTTGTTTTAAGTATCGTTTGATCCTTGGTTTTGTTTTATGTTTTGTTTTAAGTATCATTTGATACTTGGTTTTGTTTTATGTTTTGTTTCAAGTATCACTTTGATACTTGGTTTGTTTTAAGTATCGTTTGATACTTGGTTTTGTTTTATGTTTTGTTTTAAGTATCACTTTGATACTTAAGAAGTTTTACCAAAGTGTATCACTTGATACCTTTGATTAGTTTCGTTCATGCTAGACATGAACAGATTTGTGTATTTAAAGGCCGCCTGTTTCTACGATAGAAAAGGCAGACTTCGACAGACAGTATTTCAATATACTTGGTTGAACGGTTACTTCTTTGTTCCTCAGTACACCCTCGAAGCCTCCTTTAGTTATCAGCTCTCGCCTCCTCTCCGGAAGAGCAGGCCACCTGCCAACTATCGTACCTTTACCGATAACGTGATTAGCACCCTGCGAACACGTTACATAGGGTGACCCTACTTGAAATTGGAGTCCCTGGTTTCCAACACTCGCCTCCGGTCCCATTATGGGGGCCTGCATGTCATTATACATATTAGTCTCAGTTGTGTCCTGTGACTATAATGCTACAAAATTGTAGGTGTCAGAATAATACCACATATGTTGCTGCCGTCTAACTGAGTGCATCCTGTTCACAGGATATATGAGAGGGGACCTTCGACTTAGTCTGAGAAGTGGAATATAGCAAATCTGTCAACTACTCACAGAGTGTCGTTTACTTACATGAAGTAATAGTAATTTTCTTTTAAGTTATTTAAAGTACAAAATACTACTACATGACCAGTTTAGGCAAGTTTATTTATAATTTTTACCCTCAGTAGTTCAAAACTAGTATTATGTAAGCTTCTCTGAGGAAAAAAAAAAGAAAAAAAAGTCTAGTATGATAATCTTGCTTTTACATCATACTTACTTTTACTGACTATAAGCAATCATGAAATATGAAATAAACTGACTATTAGAGATCCTAAACTACTATTCCTGCTTGTAGGCAACCTTCAGAAGACTGAATATAATATCTTGTTTTTTACCTTACCTTGTACTTTTGTACCTGACATCCTCCTTTTTCTTCCTATAACTACCAGTATCTCTTGACAATTATAAAGTCTTGAATAATTAGATGGTATGCCAAATAGTTAAATTAGAGAATATTTTATTAAGATATTGTCATATATATTAGTCAGTATGGGATTTATTAATTATTGGCAGCTATTCATAGTGGAAATCTATTTCCTCTTCAAAGTTCTCAACCTTTCCCTCATTTGTATATTAATCTCTTCCTCCACTGTACTACTTTTCCCATTAACTACTCCAATTCCCTCAATTTCATATTCTCTTAAGATAATTGTTTTCTAATATTTAAATTGATAGTTTGTGGTCTTCACTCTCATCAACTGGAAGGAAATGACCAATACTAGGAGTTTAAAAATTCCTGCCATACTGCCTCGGTCTTTTTAGTAGTAAACTGCCCTCCTGGCCTCACCTACTACCAAGGTAACACCATCCCATTTACGACCTACCATACTTCCAGTAAGTTTTCTTCCTCCTATCGTACGAGTACAGTATCGTCTCTGTTTTGCTCGATTTTTACTTCCATCTCCGAGTACTCGAGTACGCTGAGATTCCGGCGCCACCCGCACTCCCGTATTCGAGTAGCCGAGGACCGGTCACTTTGCTTGCCCTTGAACCCCCCCCCCCGTACCTTACTAGCCCTGGCGGAACACGTAAATCACCGCCTGTTGCTCCTGAGTGGGCATTTGGAGACGGCTCCTTATTTCTCTTCCGTTGCTCAAGCTACTACAAACTCTTCTTCTGGAAATTCTTCAACCATTGGTCCTGGGACCCACAAGATGTCTGCCCAAGCTACTCACCCCACACTTTTGATTCCGGGACCGATTGAATTTGATGATGCAGTCCTGGTATCTATGGCCCACCCGAGGTACTTTTTCACTATCTTCAACTCCTAAGTATCTTGTCGGGTTACCGTACCAAATGAACTAATGGCTGGTGAATTTAGTGAGAGCCATGTCGGACCTGCCTTTGTCAATGCTTTTGGAGAAACTTTGTCAATGTTGAGGAAGCTTTTCATTACTACAAATCCGAAGTCGCAGCCATTTATCATTTCTGGCTCGGGGACCTTGGGTTGGGACTTCGTAGCTGCGAACTTGGTAGAAAAGTGTGATGAGGTTTTGGTTTTGCATTCTGGTATATTACACCCTGGCTGTGGTGATATAAGATGTTCTTTTGTTTTTTTTAACAAACATTGCTAGGCTACTTCGCCGACTCGTTCGCTACGTGCCTCAGTGTATACGGAGCTGTTCCCACACAATTGAATGCTCCTATCGGTTCCCGCCCATCTCTCGACGAGATTGAAGCAGAATTGAGGCGGAGATCTTACAAGGCTATCACAATCACCCACACCGATACTTCTACCGGTGTTCTCTCAGATATCAAGGCTGTCTCCGAATTGGTGCACAAAGTATCTCCGGACACTCTGGTTGTGGTTGATGGTGTTTGCTCTGTTGGCTGCGAGGAGATCCGCTTTGACGATTGGGGAATCGATGTCGTTCTCACGGCATCTCAGAAGGCCATTGGGGTGCCTGCAGGATTATGTATACTGATGGTGAGCGGAAGGGGGATCGATAGGTTCAAGGCCCGCAAGACTCCACCGTCGGCATACTTTGCATCATTTGCGAATTGGCTCCCAAGTATGTTACCTTGTCTTGATTGCCATTAAGAGTATTGAAACTAACAAATTGTGGAGTTATGCAAAATTATGAAGCAAGGAAACCCTCGTACTTTGCCACCCCCTCACCGCAATTGGTTCGCGCTCTACACACTTCGCTCAACCAAATTCTCTCTGCACCCCTAGACTGTCGATTCCAGAAGCATAGGGAGGTTAGTCAGAAGGTCAAGAAAGCTGTTGCGGAGCTAGGTTTAAGGCAGTTGGCAGACAAGCCTGAATGCCAGGCAAATGGAATGACTGCTATCTACCTTCCAGAAGGTGTTGCTGCTTCAGATCTTCTCCCAAAGCTCATGGCCAAAGGTGTCGTGTTCGCTGGTGGATTGCATAAAGAAATTGGTAAGATCTAGACCTCAACTGAATGGAAATAAGGCTAACAACAAATGGCCTACAGCTACCAAATACTTTAGACTTGGGCATATGGGCGTTAGTGTTACGAACGATGACTTAGGGCACATTGATAAGGCAATTGAGGCCCTCAAGAGCAGTTTGGCGGAGGTCGGTTATAAACTATAGGGTGGGGGCTTCCTCTTGGGTACATAGTAATGTATTATTTTATGACAAGTACTTGCCCGTGTGTTACCACACTGGTTTATAGACCCTGAATGCTGTAGAATTAATGTTCTAGTTATATAGTATTACCAACCCTTTAACTGGGATAAATCATAATTATAATACAGACTATAGGAAACTAATACATTAATTATGATTGAATTAGAGGACCTCAGAAAAGGCAATGTTCTTTGAGGTACCAACATTCTCATCATCTCCTGTCAGTACTTTTACATTATGGGGATCTGATGCCCTTAACAATGCTACATATAGCTGGCTGTGAGTAAAGACATTTTCTTTCAAATAAATTCCAATAACTTTTAAAGACTGCCTCTTACTTTTGTTGATTGTTATAGCAAATGTCAATTGAATTGGAAACTACCTCCTCTTAAGCTGAAATCTAAGATCACTGTCTGAATTACTCGTAATTTCAATATGTGTGTTAGGCGGAGACAATTTGATAGACTTCAAGGTTGTCTAGGCCAATCGAGATTTGTTTCTGTAGACGGAGATTGACTAGGAAGGCTCGGACTTTACTCGTTTCGTTTATGACTACTAGGAGCGAAGTAAAATAGGTAAAGTAGGGTAGAATCGTAAAAACAATATTATATTGTTAAGGTCTCTTCTCTGTTGCTTGATGATGTCTAAAGCTTGGGAGGCACTTCGATATTTATATTCCGTGTCTGAGTGTTCGTGGACTACATTTATTTATCATGCAACTATGTACTTCTTCAATCGTAATTCGCAACGTTGAGTTTTTTTCCAAGGTGCGAACACCTGTGGACCCTGAAAACCATTACACCCACTTTGGTAATTATGATATTTCTTCTTAGGAAACGTACTGTCTCCAATAGTAATATCCCGATTAGCAGAGTCTTTAGACTTATGGCCTAGTTCTTAAGTCGAACTGAGTTGGCTCCAATTATCTTCACCATTCATAAAATGATCAGTTTTATCCGCAGCTATATCTGCAAAGGTGGTCATCATTACAACCATCGTAGGTCGTCTAACTCTGATCCTTTGTAACTCTATACCCAACCGATAGATTTTCTCTGAAAGACTTCCTATTAACTCACAGGAAGCTATTCCACCAGATTGGTAATTAATCCCTCGGTCGGCAACTCTTGGTTGCTCTCTGGGTAATAGGTTTCAGTAACCATTGTAGTATTGAGAATCACCTCATGGTTACGACATGTTCTGAAACCCAGTTGCAACACTCCGTGAAGCTCGATGGCTTCTTTGGTAGACTCTTTTGGAGTTCTAGACTCTTCTGGTGGATGTAAATATATTGGTCTCTAGTAGAGATCCTTTACTATTTGATACCATCTCTTTGTGCGAAATCGTTCCGTTACTTGCGGCCCATACCCAAGGTGTCATGTCTTTGAAGCCAAGTAAGTCTCTGAGTAGTTGACGGAATCACACCATTCCACTTCTCAGACCTGGCCGAAGGTCCCCTCTCATATATCCTGCGAACGGGATCCGGTCGGATAGACGGTGACGACGTATATAGTGTTATTCTAATACCTTCAATTCTGTAGTAATATAGTCACAGGACACAACTGAGATTGATATATATGATGACGTGCGGGCCCCGTAAGGGAGCCGGAGGGGGGTGTTGGAGACCAGAGATTCCGATTCCAAGTGAGGTTACCCTACTTAGGATGGTTCCTAGGTATCGGATTCTGGTATTCCTAACATTGTGGAAGATATGCTGTTTTACTTTTACATGTTTCTGTCAAGATAATCCCACCAATAATATTCCTTCCCAACTGTGTAATCTGAAGTCGGGTACCATCACACGATTCTGTCTCTAGATAGGTCTGAAAACAGAGGACGCGCGGGGAGCAAATAAGCA